AGGGAGTAGGGAGGGAGTAGGGAGGAAGTAGGGAGGGAGTAGGGAGGGAGTAGGGAGGAAGTAGGGAGGGAGTAGGGAGGGAGTAGGGAGGGAGTAGGAAGGGGAGTAGGAAGGGAGCCGGGAGGGAGCTGGAAGGGAGTAAGATGAGTAGGCAGTGGGGACGGAAGGAGTGAGAGAGGAAAAGTGAGGGAGCTGGGGAAGAGAGGGAGCTGGGGAAGCCATGGAGCTGGGTAAGAGAGGGAGCTTGAGAAGAGAGGGAGCTGGTGAAGAGAGGGAGCTGGGGAAGAGAGGGAGCTGGGGAAGAGAGGGAGCTGGGGAAGCCATGGAGCTGGGTAAGAGAGGGAGCTTGAGAAGAGAGGGAGCTGGGGAAGAGAGGGAGCTGGGGAAGCCATGGAGCTGGGTAAGAGAGGGAGCTTGAGAAGAGAGGGAGCTGGGGAAGAGAGGGAGCTGGGGAAGAGAGGGAGCTGGAGAAGAGAGAGAGCTGGGGAAGAGAGGGAGCTGGGGAAGACAGGGAGCTGGGGAAGAGAGGGAGCTGGAGAAGAGAGGGAGCTGGGGAAGCCATGGAGCTGGGTAAGAGAGGGAGCTTGAGAAGAGAGGGAGCTGGGGAAGAGAGGGAGCTGGGGAAGAGAGGGAGCTGGGGAAGAGAGGGAGCTGGGGAAGCCATGGAGCTGGGTAAGAGAGGGAGCTTGAGAAGAGAGGGAGCTGGGAAGAGAGGGAGCTGGGGAAGAGAGGGAGCTGGAGAAGAGAGAGAGCTGGGGAAGAGAGGAAGCTGGGGAAGACAGGGAGCTGGGGAAGAGAGGGAGCTGGAGAAGAGAGGGAGCTGGGGAAGAGAGGGAGCTGGGGAAGAGAGGGAGCTGGAGAAGAGAGGGAGCTGGGGAAGAGAGGGAGCTGGGGAAGAGAGGGAGCTGGGGAAGACAGGGAGCTGGGGAAGACAGGGAGCTGGGGAAGACAGGGAGCTGGGAAGAGAGGGAGCTGAGGAAGAGAGGGAGCTGGGGAAGAGAGGGAGCTGGAGAAGAGAGGGAGCTGGGGAAGAGAGGGAGCTGGGGAAGAGAGGGAGCTGGGGAAAACGAGGAGCTTGGGAAGAGAGGAAGCTGGGGAAGAGAGGGAGCTGGGGAAGAGAGGGAGCTGGGGAAGAGCGGGAGCTGGGGAAGAGAGGGAGCTGGGAGAGGGAGCTGGGGAAGAGAAGGAGCTGGGGAAGAGAGGGAGCTGGAAAGAGAGGGAGCTGGGGAAGGGAGGGAGCTGGAGAAGAGAGGGAGCTGGGAAGAGAGAGGAAACTAGATGAATAGTGAGAAGGGAGAATGAAGAGGGAGAGAAAGGGTGGGGAGAGGGGAGGGAGAGTGATGGGAGAGTGAGGAGTGGGTTGGAAAGGAGGGAGAATGTTGGCAGAGGGCAGGAGGCAGGGAAGGGTTAGAAGAGGATGGGGAAGGGGAGGGTTCCAGAAAGGAGGAAGGGTAGGGGGGGAAGGGGAGGGTTCCAGAAAGGAGGAAGGGTAGGGGGAAAGGGGAGGGTTCCAGAAAGCTGGAAGGGTAGGGGGGAAGGGGAGGGTTCCAGAAAAAAGGAAGGGTAGGGGGAAGAGGACCTCCCTGTCCCACCCTTTGTTTCTTATAAACAATGACCAATAAAGCACCGGAACTGAGGTGGTGAGGGAGAGTCAAAGGTAAGAGGGAGGGGAGGGGAAAATAGGTAGGGGGAGAGGGGTGAAAGTAGGAAATGGAGAAGTGGTGAAACTTGGAGAGGGGAAACTAGGGAGTGGAGAAAGGGCGAAGCTAGGGAAGGGGGAAGGAGTGAAACTTGGGAGTGGGGGATGGGTGAAACTAGGGAATGTGTGAGGGGTGAAACTAAGAAGTGGGAAGGAGTGAAACTAGGGATTGGGGAGGGGTGAAATTAGGGAGTTGAGAGGGGAAAAACTAAAGAGTGTGGAAGGGGTGAAACTAGGTAGTGGGGAAGGGCTGAAACTAGGGACTAGGGAAGAGGTGAAACTAGGTAGTGGGGGAGTTATGAAATTAGGGAGTTGGGAAGGGATGAAACTAGGGGGTGGGGAATGAGTGAAACTAGATAGTGGGGAAGAGGTTACACTAGGGAGAGGTGTGACACTAGGAAAGTGTGAAACTAGGAAGTAGGGAACTAGTGAAACCATAGAATGGGGAGGGGTGAAACTAGGGAGTGGGGAACTAGTGAAACCATAGAATGGGGAGGGGCGAAACTAGGGAGTGGGGAAGGGATGAAACTAAGGAGTGGAGGAGGGGTGAATCTAGGGAGAAGGGGAGGGGTGAAACTAGGTTGTGGGGGAGGGGTGAAACTCGGAAGCGGTGAAGAACTGAAACTAGGGTGTGGGAGAGGGGTGAAACTAGGAAGTGGTGAGCTGTGAAACAAGAGAGTGGGGAGGTGTGAAACTAGGAAGTGGGGAAGGGGCGAAACCAGTGAGTGTGGAGGGTGAAACTAGAGGGTTGGAAACGGATTAAACTAAGGGGTCGGAGAGGGGTGAAGGTAGGGAGTGGGGAAGGGGTGAAACTAGGAAGTGGGAAGGGGCGAAAGTAAGGAATGGGGCAGGTGTAAAGCTAGGAAGTAGAAAAGGGGTGAAACTACAGGTGGAGAAGGGGTGAAACTCGGGAGTGGTCCAGGGGCGAAACTAGGGAATGGAGGAGCTGTTATATTAGGGAGTGGGCGAGGGTTGAAAATAGGAAGTGGGGAAGGGGTGAAACGAGGGAGTGGGGAGGGGTGCAACTAGTGGGTGGAGGAGGGGTTAAATTTTTGAGTAGGGAGAGTGAAACTAGGGAGTGGAACCGGTGAAACTAAGAAGAGGGAAAGGGGTGAAACTAAGGAGTGGGGGAGGGGTGAAACTAGGGAGTGAGGGAGATTGAAAACTAGGGAGTGAGGGAAGGCTGAAACTAGGAAGTGGGGAAGGGAAAAGTAGGGAGTGATGAGAAGAAAAACTAGGGAGTGGGAAGGGATGAAACTAGGGAGTGAGAATGGGTGAAACTAGGGAGTTGGAGGGAGTGGAACTAGTGCGTGAAGGAGGAGAGGGGTGAAATTAGGAGTGGGGGGAGGAGGATGGGCGAAGTTATGGAGTGGGGTGGGGAAGGGAGAGGGGGTTAGTAAAATTTGTCAATATTTAGGAGAGGAAGTTGAAGTTGTAGGAAGTATTCATCAGGTAACTTCAGGTAACCTTAGGTAACTTCAGGTAACCTCAGGTACCTTCAGGTAACCTTTAGATAACATCAAGTAACCTTAGCTAATCTCCAGGTAACTTCAGATAACTTCAGATAACTTCAGGTAACCTCAGGTAACCTCAGATAACTTCAGGTAACTTCAGATAACTTCATTTAACTTCAGGTAACCTCAGGTAACCTCAGATAACGTCAGGTAACCTCAGGTAATCTTCAGCAAGTTTAAGTATCCTCCAGGTAAGTTCAGGTAACCTCCAGGTAATCTCACATAATCTCCAGGTAGTTCAGGTTACCTCCAGGTAACTTCAGGTAGCTTCAGGTAACCTCAAGTAACCTAGTAGGTTGCCTCTGGGAGACGAGTTCTCTGGGAGACGAGTTCTCTGGGAGACGAGTTCTCTGGGAGACGAGTTCTCTGGGAGACTGGTGAGTATTTTGTTAGATAGGGAAGTACTCTGGTAGATGATGGATTAGGGTAGACGTGTGAGTACTCAAGTAGAGAGGTGAGTTCTTTTGTAGATGGATGAGTACTTCTATTGAATGGCGAGTACTCTGGTAGGTGGATAGGTACTCTAATTGATGGGTGGAAGATTCAGTAGCTGGATGAGTGTTTTAGTAGAGGGTGAGTACTTTGGTTAATGGGTAAGTACTCTAGATGGAAGATGGATAAGTACTCTAATTGATGGGTGAAAGATTTAGTAGATGGATGAGTATCCTGGTAGATGGGTGAGTACACTGGCTAATGGGTAAATACTCTAGTTAATGAGTAAGTAATGGGTCAGTACTCTAATTAATGGGTGAGCACTCTAGTAGTTGAGTACTCTAGTAGCTGAGTGAGTACTCTAGTAGATGAGTACTCTTGTTAATGGGTACATACTCTAGATTCTAGGTTGGTAGGTACGAGGGTTATGAAATACTTCTCACTAACCACTGACCTCTGACACCTGACCTCTGACACCTGATCTATGACACCTGGCCTCTGACACCTGACCTCTGACACCTGACCTCTGACATCTGACCTCTGACACCTGACCTCTGACATCTGACCTATGACACCTGACCTCTGATACCTAACCTCTGACACCTGACCTCTGGCACCTGACCTCTGACACCTGACCTCTGACACCTGACCTATGACACCTGACCTCTGATACCTAACCTCTGACACCTGACCTCTGGCACCTGACCTCTGACACCTGACCTCTGACACCTGACCTCTGACACCTGACCTCTGACATCTGACCTCTGACACCTGACCTATGACACCTGACCTCTGACACCTGACCTCTGACACCTGACCTCTGACACCTGATCTCTGACACCTGACCTCTGACACCTGACCTCTGACACCTGACCTCTGACATCTGACCTCTGACACCTGACCTCTGACATCTGACCTATGACACCTGACCTCTGATACCTAACCTCTGACACCTGACCTCTGGCACCTGACCTCTGACACCTGACCTCTGACACCTGACCTCTGATACCTAGCCTCTGACACCTGACCTCTGGCACCTGACCTCTGACACCTGACCTCTGACACCTGACCTCTGACACCTGGCCTCTGACACCTGACCTCTGACACCTGACCTCTGACACCTGACCTCTGACACCTGACCTCTGACACCTGACCTCCGACACATGACCTCTGAGGCCTGAACTCTGACATCTGACCTCTGACACCTGACCTATGACACCTGACCTCTGTCACCTGACCTCTGACACCTGACCTCTGACACCTGACCTCTGACACCTAACCTCTGACACCTGGCCTTTGACCTTTGACCTCTTGAGCAGTGACCCCTGAACTCCGAGCACTGTGTTCTCCCACAGGGTGTTCGGCTCGGCCATCACAGCATCAGCAGTACTCAATCTGTTCATCCCAGGCGCCTCCAGACTCCACCCTGTGGCAGTGATCGCCGTGAGGATACTCCAGGGACTGGTGGAGGTGAGAGAAAGAGAGAAAGAGAGAGAGAGACGCGTTCATGACTAATTTTAAAGATTCCTGTCGAGGTAAAAGAGAATGGACGGGAAGCGGAAAGAAGGGAGGGGGAGGAAAAAAAATGAAAGAATGGAGAGAGAGGGAAAATGGTAAAAAGGAAATAAGAAATAGGAAGTAAGAATATAGAAATGTTGAGAAGGAAGAGTAGGAGAGAGATGGAGAAAGAGAGAAAAGGGGAGAAGATGATGGGGAAGGAAAGAAGATAAGGGAAATAAGTGGACACAAATGGGGGAGTAAATAAGAAATGAAGAAATTACGAATGAATAGAACAAATCTGGGATTATTTTTTTAATATATATATAGTTAGTTTCAAAGTTACGTTTCGCCCACACAGTGGGAGTTATCACCTCAGTGTGTGGGCGAAACATTATGACAGAGATAAGTAAATCACCACACGTTTCAGTCTTTGAAACTTGTATACCACACCAGTCATACCACACCTGTTATACCACACCAGTCATACCACACCTGTTATACCACACCAGTCATACCACACCTGTTATACCACACCAGTCATACCACACCTGTTATACCACACCAGTCATACCACACCTGTTATACCACACCAGTCATACCACACCTGTTATGCCACACCAGTCATACCACACCTGTCATAACCTCACACCAGTCATACCACACCTGTCATACCACACCAGTCATACCACACCTGTCATACCACACCTGTCATACCACACCTGTCATACCACACCAGTCATACCACACCTGTCATACCACACCAGTCATACCACACCTGTCATACCACACCTGTCATACCACACCTGTCATACCACACCTGTCATACCACACCAGTCATACCACACCTGTCATACACAAACACACCTGTCATACCACACCAGTCATACCACACCTGTCATACCACACCTGTCATACCACACGTCAACCACACCTGTCATACCAACACACAGTCATACCACACCTGTCATACCACACCAGTCATACCACACCTGTCATACCACACCAGTCATACCACACCTGTCATACCACACCTGTCATACCACACCTGTCATACCACACCAGTCATACCACACCTGTCATACCACACCAGTCATACCACAACCTGTATAACCACAACCAGTCATACCATCAACCTGTTATACCACACCAGTCATACCACACCTGTATCCACTACCATCATACACACCTGTTATACCACACCAGTCATACCACACCTGTTATACCACACCAGTCATACCACACCTGTTATGCCACACCAGTCATACCACACCTGTTATACCACACCAGTCATACCACACCTGTTATACCACACCAGTCATACCACACCTGTTATACCACACCAGTCATACCACACCTGTTATACCACACCAGTCATACCACACCTGTATACCACACCAGTATCATACCACACCTGTCATACCACCAGTCATACCACACCTGTCATACCACACTTAACACACCGTCATACCACAACCTGTCAACCATCACCACACCAGTCATACCACACCTGTCATACCAACACCTGTCATACCACACCTGTCCATACCACACCAGTCATACCACACCTGTCCATACCACACCAGTCATACCACACCTGTCATACCACACCTGTCATACCCCACATACCACACCTGTCATACCACACACCTGTCATACCACACCATCATACCACACCAGTCATACCACACCTGTATACCACACCAGTCATACCACACCAGTCATACCACACCTGTCATACCACACCTGTCATACCACACCAGTCATACCACACCTGTTATCCCATCACCAACAACCAGTCCATATCACACAGTTATAACCATCACTGTTATACCACACCTGTTATACCACACCAGTCATAACACCATATACACACCTGCATACCACACCAGTCATAGCCACACCTGTTATACCACACAGTATACCACACCTGTTATACCACCACCAGTCATCCGCACACTTGTTATACCACACTGTTAACACCAGTTCATACAACACCTTAACCAACTCATACCACACCTGTTATCCACACCAGTCATACAACCTGTTATACCACACATACATACATAATCCACACCAGTCATACCACACCTGTTATACCACACCAGTCATACCACACCAGTCCAATACCACACTTATACCATCCCATATCACACCTGTCATACCACACCAGTCATTACCACACTAGTCATACCACATCCTCATCATACCACACCTGTTATACCACACCAGTCACACCACACTTGTTATACCACACCTGTTATACCACACCAGTCATACAACACCTGTTATACCACACCAGTCATACCACACCTGTTATACGACACCAGTCATACCACACCTGTTATACCACATCAGTCATACCACACTAGTCATACCACATCTTCTATACCACACCTGTTATACCACACCAGTCATACCACATCAGTCATACCACACTAGTCATACCACATCTTCTATACCACACCATGTTATACCACACCATCATACCACAAGTCAAAATCCACACTAGTCATACCACCGTTATACTCACCCTATACCACACCTGTTATACCACACCAGTCATACCACACCTGTTATACCACACCAGTCATACCACACCGTACATACCACAACCTGTATAACCACACCAGTCTATACCACAACCAGTTATACCACACCAGTCATACCACACCTGTTATACCACATCAGTCATACCACACCTGTTATACCACACCAAACATACCACACCTGTCATACCACAACCAGTCATACCACACCGTACCCATACCAAGCCAGTCATACCCACCAGTCATACCACACCAGTCATATTACACCAGTCTTACCACACCAGTCAACCACACCTGTATCCACACCAGTCATACCACACCTGTTATACCACACCAGTCATACCACACCTGTTATGCCACACCAGTCATACCACAACCTGTTATACCACACCAGTCATACCCACACCATGTCAACACACAACCAGTCATACCACACCTGTTCATACCACACCATCTACCCACCTGTTTATCCACACATCATACACCTGTTATACCACACCAATCCAGTTTACCACACCAGTCATACCACTAACCAGTCATACCACACCAGTCATACCACACCAGTCATACCACACCTTATTCCACATGTCATACACACCTGTTTACCGCACCATTCACACCTGCTATACCCCACTCAGCATACCACACCTGTTATACCACACCAGTCATCCACACCTTGTTATACCACACCAGTCATACCACACCTGTTATTTCCACACCAGTCATACCACACCTTGTTATAACCACACCAGTCATACCACACCTGTTATATCCACACAGTCATACCATAACCTTTTATACCGACACCAGTCATACCACCGACCAATGCATGCCACACCTGTTATACCAACATTTCATACCACACCTGTTTACCACACCAGTCATACCACACCTGTTATACCACACTCGTCATACCACACCTGTTATACCACACCAATCATACCACACCTGTTATAACCAACACCAGTCATAAACCATAACCTGATGTCACCACACCTGTCATACCCACACCAGTCATACCAACCTGTTATTCCACACCAGTCATACTAGACGAACCTGGTTGCATACGCATCATCATACCCACACCGTTCAACTGTCAAGTCAATCCTGTTATACTCACAAGTCAGTAAACACCCTGGTTATACACACCAGTCATACACTGCTAGTTATATCCACACTCATGTCAATACTCAAATGCGAGGACAGTTGTACGTCACCAGATACAAACTGTAGTTCCACACCATTTATAGACACTGATTATATCGCAGTCAGTCAATTCCACACTGTTTATAATAAACACTACGTGCATACCTACACCTTGTTGGCATCCTATTTAGGGGCTAGTGCCTAGCACCTGTTATACCACAAACCAGTATGACACACGCTGTTATACCTCGAATATACCACACGATTGTTATACACAGAACCGTTTCAATCCCATGTTAGTACCACCCGTCATACCACACCAGTTATACCTACTCCAGTTTGACCACTCCTGTTTACACACTATCATACCATACCTCCATTCCACACCAGTCATTCACCTCTGCTGCTGTGGTCTGCATAAGTCTGCATACTTCATCCTCGAGTTCCCAGGTTTCACTTGTTCTGCGAAGTCTAAATTTGTATGTTTGTTTATATGAGAAAGCAGAAAACCGACAATGGTGGGAAAAGAATGAAGAACTGCTAGCAGAATATTTCGATATCCAGGCAAGGTGCTCATCAGAAGATAAATATAAATGAGGAGAGGAAGCAGGTACGTACAGATACAGGAAGAGCGGCTGGTTCCTGGCCCTTTTTGAAAGGAACACGAACGTCATATTGTCAGGATCAGAGCCTCAATGGTCCTCCAGGTGTTTCTTAAAAACACCTGGAGGTGGATGTGTGACGATAACATCTCTTTGTTGGGCAGTCCTTATTTAGGGTCATGAGAGTGCCTGTGTACTTGTTATGATGCCTGAAACATAAAACAGAAGAATGGAGAACTGCAGTAGGTCATGACTCTCGAAATGATAATATCACGATTGTATACAAACTACAGAACGGGTGGGGTTTGAATCCATGGCGAGTAATCCCTCAAACTCCAGGCAAGTGCGTAAACTACTCGTCCTGGAGTTTTAGATCTCACTCGTCACTGATTCAATCCCCACCCGTTCTATGGTTTTCAATAGGTCTTCTGTGCAATGCTGAGCTGTCCACCTCAAGTCTTGTAGTCCGTCCACCCGAGTGAAGAAGCTAGCATAGTGCTACGATATGGTAAACTTGATTTTTTTTTTTCGCGAAAAAGTACAGTACGAAATTACGGTACGGTATTTATGAAAGGTACAAAACCAGTGGACAAATACCGTATTACACCGTACTGTCAGCACTGCAAGTTGTCAGCTCTTATTTAAGGAGGTGTTGTCGTGCGGGCGTCTGGCTTGC